ATTATCAGGCAATACAGGATCTCGTCTTGACTGGCTGGATCATGCTCGGATCTTGCCTTGACTGGTTGGATCATGCTCAGATTTTGCCTTGACAGGTTGGATCATGTTCGGATCTTGCCTTGACTGGTTAGATCATGTAAAATAAGACTATCGGAAAGTGAATGTTTTACGAAATATTTTGTATTTTTATCAAAATTTTGTAAATTTGGAGCTTTATAACTCGAAAAGCATTACACCAAAAAACATTTGTTTAAAGTGTTTTGGGAAGATCTCGTGGTCGGCTACAGGAAAATGTAATAAAAAATAGGGTCTATCTGCCATCTAAAGAAATTGAAGTAACCTTCACGTGACCTTCAAATAACTCTTCAAGGCCAAATCAATGATGCCATCTTATGGCCCACACGAAACCATACAAAACATGTCTGAACCATTTTTCTCTAAAATCAAAAGTAAGAGAGATATTTGGGGTGGATGCTTAAAATGGGACACCCTTTTTTTTCGTCGCGATGTGGGAAATCCATCATGGATCCCCCCACCCCCGGGGAGGGGCGGGGGGGGTATGCCGGACTCCTACCGGCTAAAACCCACATCGGGTGACTCTACGGAGGGACCTAATTCGGGGGGTCGGCGCCACTGTGACTGCTTATCGGCCCCCCGGCCATCCGGATCCAGATGTTCATCACCTTGTCCCCGGGTAGTGGGGGAGAGGGGGAAGCGATCCCGGAGTGCTCGAAAGCTCAGGATCATCCTCGACCGCCGCTCTCCTTACCCACCTTCCCGTCCCGCCCAACTGGGAAGGGGGAAGCACACGGTGCCCGCCCCAAGTGACTGGGCACTGCTGACCACTTGAAGGCCCGCTTCAACCGCCGTTCCCAGCGGACGGGAGGTCGTCCTGATGTTGTTTGGCGACTAGGTGGGTTACCACCACTTAGCCGCCCCAGCGTTAAGAGGACTAGCCTGGGCCCAGGTTACTCGCCCTGGACCCCGCCCTCCTCCCCGGCGGTTACGGGGGGATATTATCCCCTAGCCGCTGGGGCATCCCGTCTGGGAGATTGCCCGTCTGGGAGTTTGCACGGGTTCTCCCAGAAGGATGGGGGAAGGGGTGCGCTTACTGGTGACTGGTGAAAAACGCCGCGCACTCTCCTCTTCCGTTATGTTTTTAGCTGGTCCGGCTTTCTCCTACCTGGGGAACAGCCGGGCCCTCCTCCGTGGGGGTTGGGAGCGGATAGTCCGTACCCTTCCCACCGCGCCAGGTGTAGTTGGCGCAGAGTTGGGTAGGAGACTCACTTCTCCCACCCTGTCACTCTTAACAGCAGTTGCTGTTTCCCGGTTATCTTCGGGAAGCAGCGACTCCCTTCCTGCACCCCATCCACAGGATTGGATGGGGGGGTTTGTGTGGTTGTCTCACCACCCATCGATCCCTCGTTGGGGGGCGGCCACGACGACGCTCAGGGCGTCTATTGCCGCTCCCCTGCATTGCGAGCCAACAGGATGGCCCTGCCTGCCTGTGGCTCGGATTTCTCCCAGCCTCTTGGCACACCGCACAGTGTGATAGCGCCTCGCACTGCCGTGCGGTGTGCCCGCCTCGGCCACACCGGTAGCATAACCCGCTACGGTCTACCGTAGCGGGACAGCTCCACCTTGTGTAGCCGAGGCCTTAGCACCTATGACACTGGAGTGGTCTGGCTGCCAGCATTGCGATTCTGACAACCGACCACCCCAGTGTGTATCCTCCCTTTTTCACCGCTGCCACCGCAGCAGCTAGCGGCATCCGTGCCCACACAGCATCCTTTCCCCGGGGTCCCCATTTAAGGGCACCCATCTCCACTTTTTCCATCCTGCAGCCTGCGCATTCTGCTAGGGCCACTTTGATTTCATCAGGGGAGGCCGCCTCATTAAATCCCGTGAGGCGGACCTCCCCTTTCAAGATTGGACGGTTGATTACCGCCCCTGGCAGTCCCTCCTTTAACCTCGCAGCTAAGCGATCTGCTTTAACCTCCTCAGGGCCCGGATCCCTGACGCGGACCAACAATGCGCCATCGGCGCTTCTCCCCGTGTCCACGTCAGGGATATCCAGTTCCCTGAGGGTAATCTCCCTTGTTACCTTCCTTAAGGCCTCTGCATACGAGGCTCCCTTTTCCAACCTAATTGTAACCGCAGCTCTCGTAGGTAGCCGCGGCCACTTTCCTTTTCCTATAGACAGTGGAGGTGGTGCATTGCTAGACTGTACAGCTGCCTGCACAGGTTCCCCCACGTCACCCTTCCCGTTTCCTGGGGGCGCTCTCTCATTTTCCCCTCCAGCACTCCCTTCTCCTCCCCATTTCTTTCCTTCCTCTTCCTTTTCCTTCCACTTTCGGCGGCTATCCACTCTATTGAGGGGACGACCTCTTTTTGCCCGCCCTCTTCCCTTTGCGGCAGGTAGGGTGTCTGTTTGTGTGGAGGTATCCACACAGCACACTCCCGCCTGTACAGCTACTTCCTCTCCTCCGACAGATGCCTGCGTCTGTGACTCAGCATCTGTCTGTGATCCTATCCTAATCTTCTTCTTGCCTCTCTCTACTTCCCATTCTTCTTCTTTCCTTCTTAACTCCTCCCTCACTTTTTCTAATTCCTCCTCTGTTTCTTTCTGCTCATTAAAGAAGACTTCGGAAACTTGATCCGACCTTTCAGCCTCTTCTTTTGCTTCCTTGGATTCCTTTTCAAGCTCTTTCATCCTCTCCTTCGCTTTCCTATTAATCTCCTGGCTTTCTTTATACTTTCTTGCCATTTCTTTTTCTCTCTCTTCTGCCTCTCTTTCTCTCTCTTGGAGGGCCTTCTTGCTTTCCTCCTTTTTCCTCCTTTATCCTATGTTCTAACGCCCAGAGCTCCTCCTTTAGAACTTTCAGTTCCTCCTTTGCATCCTGGGACTTTATCTCATTCCAAGCACATATACGATGCACTTCTCTCTCCGTCCTTACCAATCGTAAGGCATAATCTTTCGCGGTGTTAAGCACCTCCTGTATGCTGAGCTTCTTGCTCATACTGAAGCTGCTTTCCTCTTCCCATGTCACTATCTGTGCATCCATATATTCCTGCCAGGATTGCCAGACCTCCTCCGAGTATGGGATGTCCGCGAGAAAATCGAGGTTTTTCATATCCCTCGTCTTCACCGACACCTTGATGCTTTTTAGCTCTTGTCGAACACGTTCGCCGAACATGCTCTTTTTTGAACTCCCTACGGAGATCTCTGAGGACCCTCCACTCACCTCCTCTCCCTCCCTTCTTCGTTTTAAATATGTTTCTGCCATGGTCAAATAAATCCCTCTATCTCCCAGCGGCTCGACCGGCCGGGCATGCCCGCACCAGCAGAGACATGACCTACTGGTGTCCCCGAGTCCCCCCGGGGAGTCGGTCTAAACCACGGGCCCGAGGAAAGACATCTCGGGCACAGGATTCCTGCCCCCTACTCCCGCCCAGACAGACCTATTGTTGGGAGCCTGGCCGGTTTCGGGGGTCCCCGGCCTGCGACCTCCGTGGCACCGCTGGGGGCGCAGCCACGCGGGGGAGGTAAGGTAAGTCCCCGTGGAAGGAGGTAAGTCACTGGTGTCGCTACCCACTAGGACCCCTCCCCCACGGCGGCCCGCGTGATCCTCTGCCCAGAGGGTGATTTTAGGGTGTAGCGATCGTCATCCCGCGGGCTCACCCCGGGGGCTCCGGCCCCGACCTCGGAATACGTCCGAGCCGCCTGGAGTCCCCCCGCCACCCCGGGTATCGTGGGGGTTCCAAACCCCACGGTGTGCAGACCCGGGCGTGGCCCGTCCCTTCGGGCTGCCGGAGCACCGGCGTGCAATGCCCTTAGGAACGGTCTCCCCAGAGTTGGGTCCTGCCCCTCCGACTGCTGGAACATCGGCGTGCAATGTCAGAGGAGTGGGGTCCCCACCCTTGGTTCTCCATCCAAAAATGGGTCCAGCAGAGAGGAAATACCCCCTTCGGCTGCTGGAGCACTAGCATGCAATGCCTCCAGTGGTGACAAGCTCCTCCTACTAGACCCGTACGGCCTTCCCAGGTTATTCTGGGTCAGCCTCCTTCCTGGTTGGACGCTTTTAGTCTGGCCCCTCAGTACAGACCACTCGGGCATGGTAGAACCTGCCAGGGGTCGAAACCCCCGCCGGCACAGCTCTGTACATCATCAGGGCACGCAAGCTCCCCCATCACGGCAAGGTGGCGTCCACGGGGGAGAAAATGGGACACCCTGTATATAGTGTCACACTTACATACTGTACGACAGATTGCTTATCCATAACCGCGGGCGTCCAAATAAACAATCAGAGCACATATCGACATTTTTTTTTACGAGGAGGGAATCCTCATGGATACCCCTACCCTCTGGGAAGAATGGGGGATATGCCGGACTCCTACCGGCTAAAACCTCCCCGGATGGCGCTGCGAAGGGACTTGGACCGGGCCCCGGGGCCGTATAACTGCGATCGGGGCCCCGAGTCCTGATGGCAATCGGTCTTCTTCCCCGAGAGGTGCCAAGGGAAGGAAGAAGCGAGCCTAGGCTCCTCTTCAACTACCGCTCCCCCAGGGGAGGGGGGAAGAGAGCCGAGGCTCTATTTCTAACACCGCTCCCCCTTACTCCCCTCACACTCCGCCTATATGACTGGGAAGGGGGAAGCCGGCCAAAGGACCTGCACTTCAAGCTCCGTTCCCAGCCAGGCAGGGTGCCGCCTCAGTGTTGCTGTGCGGCTGGATGATCCACCTTATCATCCAGCCGCCCTACTATGGAGGGCTGGCTGTGGCATCGGGAATCCCCGTGCGATGCCCCACCCTCCTGCCCGGCGATTACGGAGGGAAAACATCAATCCCCTAGCTGCCGGACACTCCCGCCTCTTGCAGAGGCCGGAAGGGGTCCGAGGACCCCTCCCTTTCCTACCTACTAATGTGGGTCAGGGGAGGCAGGAGGGGGGAGATGATGGTTTGGGCGACGATATCACCATTCCATCCTGTCCCCCCTATCCTCATCCGATTCCCGTTTTTGGAGTCGGTGGACGACTAGGCGGTTGGTCGACCCCGTCTTTGCCTTGCCTGTCCAGCGTTAGCCTGTGACCCGTCACGGATCCCTTCTGTTCTTCCTTGCGCCCTCCCCCCATGTTTTGCTCTATGTGGAGGCATCACTCGGGTGAGGGGCCCTTCCGTGAAGCACTGGGTGAGGCTGGGAAGGAGGGGGAGAGGAAGGGGATGGGGTTGGGAGGAAGGAGGGATAGGTGGGGGAGGGATGGTGGTTGAAGGGGTGGTGGGGGCAACCCCATCATGCCTCGGGCCGCTTCCTGCTATGAGGAGTCCGCGTCTCCCTCCCGACTGGGGGAGCGGCGCTCTGCTCGGCGACGTTGTCGTCTCCTCTGGGCCCGCCCCCTTCTCTCCGCCTGTCGACGAATCTCTTCTGCTGCCTCATTCTACGACATCACACCCTCGCAGAAGAATGCAAAGCTGTCCTACCTTTTCTCACTTCCAAGAATGGCTGGAATGACTCTGGGGAGTGAGAGGTCCATACCTATCCCCAGTTCCCTGACCACGACTCCGCGCCCCGCTGCCCAGGCTGGACAGTCCTGCAGCATATGCTGTGCGGAGTCGTGGTCGTGGTCACAGTGGTGACACTGCGCTGTGCGTTCCTTCTCGATTCTCTGCAGGTACTCACCGAAACAACCGTGTCCGGTGAATACCTGCGTCATCCGGAATGTCAGGGCCCCTGATGCCCTGTCTACCCAGTCCGGGAGACAAGGCTGGACGGCCTCGGCAGTCCTCCTCCTATATCTCGCATTTGCCAGTTTCCTCTGCCATCCGCGGAGGAGGTCCTGCCGAACCTGGTGCCTTATTCGCCGCATGGCTCCGGCGAGCGCTTCGCAAGCCCCCCCTTCTTTGGAGCTCCCCCCTCCTTCTGTAAACGGAACGGTACATGAGGGCTAGGAGCTCCAGCTCCACTTGGCAGTATCTTCTTCCATGGTCGCCATTTCTAGCCCCCTCAGTCTGACTTCACCCATTTTCTGGGGGCGGTTCACCTTAGCTTTGTCCGCTAGTACTTCCCTCAGCTCCGCTACCAGCAAGTCTGCTTGTTCAATCCTCTTTTTCCCAGGGATCTCTAGGATCAGCGCCCCAGTGGCACCTTGCCTCGTTCTGTTCCTAGAGATTCCCATGCTGTCGATGTTGATTTTGGTCTTGGCTTCCACTAGCAACTCCCTATATTTCCCTTTCTCCGCTGTGATCGATATTGCTGCGGTAATCGGGATCTTGCGCCTCAACTTCCTCTTACCCTTTTCTCCAGCGCCCTCCGTATCTAGTGCCCTCCGTATTCACCAGTTGTTTTATTTGCGCCTCTCCTTTTTCCCTTCGTCTCTCTTTCCGTCCTAGCACCTGTGTCCATTTCTCCTGAGGCGCTACGCTCTTCGTCACAGATTCCTGCTGTCGCGTCAGCTTCGGGTACTCCTCATCTGGTAGCGGGGGGAGGGCGGAGCAAAGGACTTTCGTCCTTCCTTATCGTCCATGTTTTCCTCCGTCCTCTTCCCCTTCCTCTTCTTCTTCTAATTTTCTCTCCGTTCCCTCTGGGGAAGGGGTTTCTCCCCTGTAGCGTTCTGCATTGCAGGTCCCTTTTTCTCCTCCGCCAGTTGGTTCCATATTCCTGCTCCCTTTCCCTCCTTTTGTGCCGTCCATGCTTCCATTGCCTTGAACAACATGGCCGCTATCTTGTTTTCCATGGGTTCTCCCATTGCTTTTCCTGATGGTGCTTGTTCTCCACCCTGACTTTAACGTTCAGGAGAACGTCCTCTTTAATTCGCGGGCCAGATTTGCCCCCTTTTGTCTTTCTTTCTTTCCCCTCCTTCCCAGGGTGGATGCTCCCTGACTTCACTTCCCCTGGCATTATCTCAATGGGTCCTACTTCCATCGGCACCTCCTCTTCCATGTCCACAGCTGGGGGCATGACTTCTTTCCCCACAGGTGCCATTCTCATCTCCTCCTCCCCTACGTATACTGGTGCTTGGGGGGAATTACCAGCGCTGGTGGTGATGCCTCCCCTCTGCACTTGGCTGCCTCCTTTAGGTCTTCGACCTCCTTTCTCCTTTCTTACTCCATTTCTCGGAGCCTCTGGTTCTCTTCTCTTAGCTCCTCCTCCACCTCTAGGTTGCTCCCGTCTTCTCCCTTGATCATTCTCTTGGACATTATTGATGCCCCTACCGCGATCGCCGCCGAGGCGTCTCTCAACACTGCCGTACGTACCTTTCAAATTGTTTGAGCGTATCGCTATGCCCAAAACTTGCGTAGCCACTTCCTAGACCGAGGCAGTTGGGTCGCTTAGAGGGGCCCATTCCGTGCTCTCAGTTAGCCTCTTTACTTTCTCCCTGTATTTTCTGTTATTTTCCAAACCCGAAAGCGACACCATTGGGTTCTCCATAGCCTGAAGTAATTCCTTCTCCTTCAATTTCTCTCTGGCTTCCTCTCTCTTTGCCATAAACTTTTCCTTCTTCTCATATTCTCCCTTTGTCTTGGGTCTCCCCCCGTTTTGGTATTACTACCATCGCTTCCTCGTGCGTTTCCCCATCCTCATTACGCGGGATGTCCCATTTCGATGACATCATCTCATCTACTATCCTCTCGGGTGAGGTTGATCTCGATCCCGAGGATTAGGGGCCTTCAGCCCTGAGAGGCGACCTTGACCTGGACCTAGAGCGATCCTTTCTCCTGAGCGTGCGCTTATTTATATCGCGCATCTCGTGCTTCCTCCCCATCCTTTTAAGGGAGTTGTGGCGTTTCCCTCCTCTCCTAGTCACGTTCTTCCCTCTCTGGCTCTTGGTTGCCATCTCCTCCTTTTTCCCTCCTTAGGAGCTGCCAGAGACAGCTCAATCACGTCCTTTGGTATTGCCATGGTCGTCGTGGCTTGGTCCAGATCCGTAATTTCATTTGTATTAGAATTGTCGTTCATTTTGCTTTACAACCCACCACTTTGTACGGCACCGCTGCCCGGACATGCCCGCATCCCCCCGGAAGGGGGGAGCCACCGAGTTCCCCCAGAGGAGTAGCTTATGACGCAGGCCGGCGGAATGATTATCGCCGGCACGGGCCTCCCGCCCCATACATGCGTCCTGACTACTATTTCTGGTGGCCAGACCGCTTTCGGGGGTCCCGCACCTCCGACTATGCGGGCACCGTACAGAGCGCCGCAGCGGGTGCGGGCGCGTCTCCGCTCCCGCGGGGGGCTCCATGAAAGGAGGTAGTTCACCGGTGTCGCACCCCACCAGGAACGCCTCCCTCATAGCAGCCAGCTACTCGCGCCGCCCGAGGGTCCGCTTTAGGGCGATGCGATAGCATTCCCTCGGGTACAGCACACAGGGGTTCCGGCCCTGCCTCGGAATATATCCGAGCGGCCCGGAACACCCCTCCACTCTCCGGGTACCATGAGGGGTTCCAAACCCTCATGATGAGCAGACCCGGGTGTAGGTTCCTCCCTCCGCCCAGTCGTGACCGGGACGGATGAGGGAGAGGTCCATCCCCCTTGACTGACAGATTGGAGCGGGTAAGGAGGGGGGTCCTCTCCTTTCGGCTGCCGGAGCACCGGCGTGCAATTCTTCCAGGGGTGATAGTCTCCTCCCACTCGCTTCATGACCAGTCTGGTCATAGACCAGGTTGATCGGCCATCCCGGTCAGGTGCTCTTGGTCCAGTCCTTCCGTACAGACCACTCCGGAATGGTAGAACCTGCTAGGGGCCGAAACCCCCGCTGGTACAGCTCTGTATATCACCTTCAAGCCCCCCACCACGACAGGGTGGCCGGACCTACTACCACCGGTGCACCCCCAACAACGTCGCCTCCTTTCCTGTTGGGAAAGAAGAATGCCGGGGAAAAGAAAGGAGGAGAGCGCAGTCCTCCTCCAAGCCCTCCCCGTAGGGGGTAGGAAGTGGTCGAGGCTGCCCACGACAGCCGCGGTCACTGTGTGGCTGTCGCAGGGGTCCTAGTATGCCGAGGTCCTAAGGAGAGCCACCGAGGAGATTCCTCTCTGGGAGTTGAATATCCCTGGCATGGACGTTGAGAGGTATGCCGACGGCACCCTTGTAGTCCACGTCCGGGACCCGAGGCCCGAGGGAGAGAAGGCCGATCGATTTGCCGAAAGGCTCCGGAAGGTGTTGCCCGGGGCTGCTGTTACACGCCCTGAGCAGAAAAGGGAAGTCCGCCTCGTTGGCTTTAACGAGGCAGCCTCCCCTGAAGACGTGAGGACGGCCCTGGCGAACAGCGCGGAGTGCGCACCCAGGGCCGTCCAACTCAGGCCCCTGCTGGAGCATGAGAGGCCGAGGAGTGGGCCTGTCTACCCTTGGCGGTCGCTATAAAGGCCGCCAGGGATGGCAGCTTCGCACTGGGGTGGTCGACCGTCAGCGTCTCACTGCTGGTGGCTAGACCACCCTAGTGCTTCCGGTCTTGGAGCCTCGGCCACACCAGGGGGAACTGCACCGCTGCGACAGATCACAGCGGTTTATGTTTTCGGTGTGGCCGGGGTGGGCAAGCCGCGCAGATGTGCGAGTCTGCACCAGATTGCGCGATGTGCCGAGAGGCTGGTCGGCAGGCTGGCCACAGGATGGCGGGGCCTTCCTGCTGGCTATCCTCGCGCTCAACGGGGGGCGGTGGGCGCAGTGTGCGCCGTCGCGGCCATCCCCCCAACGAGGGACTCGTAGGTGCCGCTGTCGTTGACAGCGGGTGCGGGCACGTCTCCGCTCCCGCAACCGTGAGTGGTTGATGCCGTCGGGGAGACGGTACAGGCGGGCGCGGTAACGCGCCGGTAGGAATGGGTCGAATCTTGTTCGGATGGTCGCCACCTTGTCGTGGTGCATAAGCTTGATGGTCACAATGATCCAAGGGGATGGACTAGACTTGGAATCTCAGGATTCCAGGTTAGAGGGTGAACCGAGGAGAGTGGCTACTAAGAGCGACCAATACATGCTTCGAGATGGGCAGCTGCCTCTTGAAGCATTAAGAAGCATTAAGAGACTGGAGGGCTGCTCTCGAGTGGCACGAAGGACCCTGCAGCGCGGGAGTTTGGGCTCGTTAGCTTCGCCTTTGGGAGGCAACCAAACAGGGGAAGGACACCCGTAAAAACCCGTGGCGATGACGGCCCGTTAGCCTATTTTCCAAGCACCCAACGAGGGGACGGAAAACCCATTGTAAAAATCCGGGTATCGGACTCGTTAGTCTGGGAGGTTTCCAGACAACCCGACGAGAGAAAGGAAAATCCACTGCAAAAACCCGGGCTAGTGGGCTCGTCAGCCTTGAGCAACCTATTCCGGAGATTGGAAACTCCGTTATCAAACCCGGGCGAAGGCTCGAGAGCTTGACTTCGTGGGCAAGCAACCTATGTGAAGGGGAGGAAGAACCCTAATACTAAACCCGGGCATCGGGCCCGTTAGTCTGGGAGGTTGCCAGACAATCCGACGAGGGGAAGGAAAACCCACTGTAAAAACCCGGGTTAGTGGGCTCGTTAGCCTTGTGCAACCTATTCCGGAGATTGGCAACTCCGTTATCAAACCCGGACGAGGGCTCGAGGGCTTGAATTCGTGGGCAAGCAACCTATTATTAGGGGAGGAAGAACCCCAATACCAAACCTGGGTGTGCAGCTCGTTAGCCTGAAGGCATCTGCACTGGAGAGAAAACTCCGGACAAACCGGGCGTTCGAGCTCGTTAGTCTGGCGGTCCAGACATCCGAAACGGAGAGAAAACTCCGAACCAATCCGGGCGTTTAGGCTCACGAGTCTGGCAGACCAGGCACCTGAACTAGAGGGAAGGAAGAACCCTGACTAATGAACCCGAGCGATCGGGCCCGTGAGTCTATTTTTCCAAGACATCCGAAC